CGCAGCGGCGGGCTTGGGGGCGGCCTTTTTCGCGGCAGCGGGCTTCGCGGCGGCGGCCTTCTTGGGAGCGGCAGCAGCAGTAGTAGCGGAAGCCTTCTTGGGGGCAGCGGCGGCGGCCTTCTTAGGCTCAACCTTCTTTTTGGCGAGCTTGGTGCCGCCCGAGGGCCCCTTGGGCTGGGCAAAGACACCCTTTTCGACGCCGCCCTTGAGGGCCTTGTTGAAGAGGGAGTCGAACATGTTGTCCGAGACGTTCAAGGAGTTGTTGGCCTTGACGTACTTCTTGAGGGACTGACGGCTGGAGCCATTGCGGTCCTTGAGCTGTGCGACTTGTTAGTAAAAAAAAGCAATTGGTGGTGAGCGCGACGGCGGGCGTGCGCAAGCCGACTAGGCAGCAAGTGCCAACGGCGATGGGCGGCAGGGCAGGGCAAGCAAATTGCAAATGGGTTAAAAGCACATACCATGACAATGGCATCAGTAATCATGTCCTGTAGCGAAGCTTGTTAGCAAATGTGAAGACGGAAAAAAATGAGAAGCGAAGAGAGCGACGCGAGTGCGGCGCAGAGTAGGAAAAACAAACCTGGTAAGAAGCGTGAGAGGCCTTGGCCTTGGTAGCAGCAGCAGCTTTGGGAGGCATGTTGGATAGAGTGTGTGAAGAGTGAGATTGTTAATTGAAGAGTGCTGAAGAGTCAAAGAATTGGATTTGAAAAGCGAAACGTGGGTAAAGAGATCGAGAGCAGGAAAAAGCGTCAGAGCCGGGCGCGTGGGAGGGACGGGGAGATGTTTATATATGAGGCGGGGCGAGGGCCGCAATCAGTAGGTAGGTAGGTAGCTGGATGGCAGCACCTTTTTTTGGGGGAATTTTGGGGCGTGTGCCTGCGTGGGTGCAGCAGCGGCTCCGTGGCACGAGGCACGGCGACCATCTCGAGGGCATTCATTGAATCTGCCTGGCTTCGGTAGACAATGATGAGAATATACTTGTCAACATGAAAATCATTTCGAATTTCATTTTTAGTTTCTTCCCTCATCTTGATTTTCGTCGCATTTCTTGGGTCGCCATTGTCGCACCGCAAACACACACGCACGCACACACACGCACCAAGCTGCCGCCAACAGCTCCCACCTAGTTCGCCCAAGAGGTAAGGTAGGCAGGTTGGCAGGTACCTGGAGGATACCTCGCTTCGCAGCACTGGCAGCTGCCCCGCTTGGCCAATCTGTATTTTTCATTCGTTGAAAGCTGAGAACCTCCCGTCAGACATGTACCCGCTTTTTCCTCCTTCTGTTCTTTTGCAGAGTGCTCACGGCAGTCTCCTCCGCATCCACCGCGACGCTAGGCCACGCTGGTGTAGCTTCAGCCACAAATCGCCTGAGTATCTTTTGTGCGTGACGCACACCAAACAACGACCCCGAAGCATTCTTCGAGCCACCAAGCAGCCACACTCAAATCACCATCGTCTGTCCCCTGCCCCATTTGCCATCAGCCCCACCAAGGCCCAGCAATCCAAAATATTTGTTCCCCTGCCTCGTGACCATTTTTCTGATTGGCCAGCGCCACCCCCGACTGCCTCTTATCCATCCCGCTTTCAACTTGTACCTCGAAAGTCTCTTCTCCTAGTCTTCGTCTTTTGATCTGCTGAGCCGGTCCCTTGTTCCATCTCGTCCTGGCCGTCCGTGTCGTTCCTCTCTGCCAGTCTCTGGTGAAGCCTCTCGCAGCATGTTGCTACTCGGCCTTCCCCTCCCTTTTTTTTTTCTCTCTGCTTTTCTATCTTTCTCTGTCTCTCGTCTTTCTTTGTGCTCACCCTCCATTACAATTTTCCATGAGTCATTTCTTGATTTGCCCCCCTCCTTCATCTTCAGAGTTTCGTACTAGTTAGCTTGTCAGTTGGCATTTGGAAACGTAGGCTGTCCCGAGTGCACTTTCGTGATGTCCGTATGCCCGCTCCGCCCGCCTTGCCGCCAGACACCCAATTCTCTGGCACACTCTCGGGCGCATTGCGAATTGTCGTGTCGCTACTTGTCGCTTCAATTAAAGTCACTCGAAATTGTATGCAGAATTCTTGGCGCTTTCATTTGAGCACTTATAGGCCTGCACTATCGCTCATTTTCAAACGCGGATGGCTGATGCGCGTGCGCCGCTCTTTTGCCTCGTCGCTCGTAGCCCGCCCGCGACTCCATCCTGAAGCTATCCGCGAAACTGGCCCTTGATATTGTCTCCGTCAACAACAGCCCCATTTTCATTCATCTCTGCCTTTTTGACAATAAAATATCAACATAGTAGCTAAATGCGTCTTTTGTGCAATTTTTACATCCTCATCTGTCCTGTCCGCTGAGATATGGTCCAAGACGTCCACATCGTCGTTTTTTCCGCTCGCGTTTGCAAAGTTGAAAACATGCCGCGCAGCACAATCAATCAACACACGTCGCCCTTTTGCCCAAATCTCTTCAAATCTAACTTGAATCGTTAAGAAATTATTCATTTCTCTTCGTAAAGTGTCTAAATGTACAAATTTCTCCCAAATATCACCTGCAGCTCGTTTTTGCCGTCGTCACCGCTTCTGACCGCGACGCCTGATTCAAAACAACACGTTGGCAACTTGACTTATACCGGTTTTCTCTTCTGTGCCCTTTCGAAGCTTCAAATTACTTTATATGGAGTATTTAGAGAGCATTTACATATAATCCGTGTCTTTTTAGCCTTCATTCGCGCGTTTCGAGGCACCGTACTCGATACTCGTTTGCCAGTGCGAGGGGCAAATGGCCAAAGTCGACGTGGCGCCGACTTGCCAGGCGCCCAAGGACGTTACTCCAAGCAGCAGTCACCACAACGCGATATCTAGAGTCAGATATAACTCAAGATATCTGTAGATATACCAATTCATTTTCTCAAGCATCATTCTCCCGTCTCTGCTCAGCACCAGTTGCTGGCCGCATCCGGCAATCACGAGGCTGTCTCGTCAGGTCAGCTCGATAATGTATGCGCCGCAATGCCAAGTCGCACCACACAACGACAAAGACGTGAAACTCTATCAAAATAATCAGAATTACTATAGAATCTATTGAAAAGAGCGATCAAATACACAGAAATACACGAAATGTATTCTCAGGTTGGTTACATTTGGCCTCGGTTCGACCGCCATCAGGTCCTTGACGCCTGATGACTTACACGACGTTGCCGGTCAGCTGAAGAGTCACGTGATACATGTCAAAATCGCAACGGTGCTACATCTGCCCTTGTCCGCGAAACGTCTTGATACAGTTACTGCCGAGGGTGCATGCTTGCATTGATTGCCACGACCTTCCCATGCAAGGAAAAAACCACTGATTTGATTTCGCAGTACAAGGTTGTCCCTACAGGCTATAGATGCTTGTTCCCGAACTTGCCTGTATAGTTAGCGTTTCGCGTTGCTGCTCTTATGCTGGTATTGCTTTGCGGTAATGGCCGTTCAGATTCGACTAATTAGTTAGATAATCAAGCGAGAATATCTCGGTTCAGATTGTTACCGTCAATCCATCCCTGCACCATTTGTGACATGGTTGCTCGACTTGATGTGGCGTTGAATCTCCCGTGCCACAATGAAGTGTGGCTAGTGAAGTAGGCACCCGCACAAGGTTCATCGCCCCTGCCTCGCTCAGCGAGCTAAGGTGCTACTACTACTAGGTATTTCCTGTGGGGCCCTACTGTTGGACACGTCGCTGCGAACCCACCATTCTAGTTATATCGAGTTGTGCGCGCAGCTCTGTCTCTACCTCTCTCTGACTGGCGTGCTTTTGCAGCAATTGTTCCGTTGGGGACTCCGTATCATGGAAAGGTTTTCTCACACTGTCCTGTGATTATCCTTGCTATTTATTTGTCAAAATAACAAAGACTGCACTCTCCGCATACACGCACATTGTATCGACTCGGGGAGCCCCTCAACGCCAGCTCTCCTTGGCCCCCCCTGCTGCACCGTCCCGAGCTTGACGCTTTTTCCACCCCCCGACTCCCAAACGACTGTTTCGGCCATCCACGAGCTACAGCCATGGCTGATTACAACCAGTTCCACGCCCTGGGTCACGGCGAGCAGTACGATCCCAACGATCCGAATAAAACGACCGCCCCGGCTGCCCAGCAATTTATGCCTCCCGTGGCCCCGAACCCCTACCAGCAACAACAGCAATATGGTGCTCCTCCGTATCACGGAGGGCAGGCACCTCCCATGAGCGGTCTTCCGTCTCCAGGTTTCCAAGGCGGTGCTCCCCCGCCCCAGCAAGACGCATTGGCTGCCCAAATGGGCGGTATGAGCCTCGGCGGTGATGTCCAAGGTACTGTGCGCAGGAAGAAGAAGGATCGCCACGCCTACCACACTGTCGAGCCAACAGGCTCATCGCAAGCCTTCAATGGCATGCCAACCGCCGGTGTGGGTGCCAGCCAATTTCTCAACAACTCCGGGAGCCCCTCTATTCCTGCCTTTGGCAACCAGTTTGACAGCCAAGGCGCGCCTCACACACAATACGGCGCCCCAGCTGCGTCACCTCTTGGCGGTCCTATCAATCCTATTACAGGAAGCACTTCTGGAGATGCTGCCGCTTCTGTCCCGGCCTCTGGCCAGGGCAAAGTTTCCGCCGACGACCTTCCTAGTGTACCCGCTGCTCGTGATGCTATTCAGCAGTACTTTCTCAACAACATCTATCCAACCTTTGAGAAGCACGTTCCGCCGCCTGCTTCGGTTTCATTCGTTGCCCACGACCAAGGCAACTCCTCGCCCAAATATGCTCGATTGACAATGAACAATGTGCCCGCTACCCCCGACGGCCTGCAAGCCACTGGCATCCCCCTCGGTCTACTCCTACAACCTCTCGCTCCTCTTCAAGCTGGCGAGGCCGAGATTCCTGTCCTGGATTTTGGAGAGGCAGGACCTCCCCGTTGTCGCAGATGCCGGGCCTACATCAACCCATTGATGATGTTCCGATCCGGAGGCAACAAATTCGTCTGCAATCTCTGCACATATCCAAATGACACTCCTCCCGAATACTTCTGCGCCACTAGTCCGCAAGGCGTGCGTGTTGACCGTGATCAGCGGCCCGAGCTTCACCGCGGAACAGTCGAATTCGTGGTCCCAAAGGAATACTGGACCAGACCGCCCGTTGGTCTGCGCTTCCTCTTTCTCATCGACGTCACACAAGAGTCTTTCAACAAGGGCTTCCTAGAAAGCTTCTGTGACGGAATACAGGCTGCCCTTTACGGTGGTGAGATTGGCGAAGACGGTGAGCCCAAGAGACGGATACCCGAAGGAGCCAAGGTCGGCTTCGTCACCTACGATCAAGACATTCACTTTTACAACATCAACGTATGTGTCCTTGTCGCATTTATCGTGTCAGAACGCATACTAATTAGTTTTATAGCCTGGTCTCGATCAAGCGCATATGCTGATTATGCCCGACCTCGAGGATCCCTTCCTTCCGCTTGGTGAAGGCCTGTTCGTTGACCCCTATGAGTGCAAGTCAACCATCACCTCGCTTCTCAATCGCCTACCCGAAATGTTTTCAACTGTCAAAAATCCAGAGCCCGCTATGCTCGCAGCCCTCAGCTCCGGTTTGGCCGCTCTGGAAGCCACAGGTGGCAAGGTCATATGCTCGTGTGCTGCCTTGCCTACTTGGGGACCCGGCAGACTGTTTTTGCGCGATGATGGAAGTCATCCTGGTGGTGAGTCCGACAAGAAGCTCTATACTACCGAGCATCCCGGCTGGAAGAAGGTATCCGAGAAGATGGCTGCCAGCGGCGTTGGTGTCGATTTCTTCCTGGCCGCTCCTTCCGGCGGATACCTTGACATTGGGACGATAGGACATGTCGCTGCTACCACCGGTGGTGAAACGTTTTACTACCCCAACTTTATCGCGCCTCGCGATAGCCCTAGGCTGTCCACGGAAATTGCACACGCCGTTACGCGCGAGACTGGTTTCCAGGCGCTGATGAAAGTTCGATGCTCCAATGGTCTGCAGATTGCGGCCTACCACGGCAACTTTGTGCAGCACACCTTTGGTGCCGATCTCGAGATTGGTGTCATTGATGCAGACAAGGCGTTGGGCGTGTCTTTCTCCTACGATGGCAAGCTCGACGCCAAGCTCGACGCTCATTTCCAGTCGGCTCTCCTGTACACAACCGCTTCTGGACAGCGCAGAGTGCGATGCTCAAACATCATTGCTAGTGTCAGTGACACATCCAAGGAGGCTGGTGTGCGCGAACAAGGCATTCGCGCGTGCATGAAATTTGTCGATCAAGATGCTGTCATTGCTTTACTTGCCAAAGAAGCTAGCACCAAACTCTCTACGACCTCGAGCAGCCTCAAGGATACCCGCAACTGGTTGACAGAGCGAACCATTGACATCATGTCCTGCTACCGCAAACATTCTGCGCAACAACACCCGCCCGGACAGCTAGTCATGCCCGAACGACTTAAAGAATTCTGCATGTATATGCTCGGTTTGCTCAAGTGCAGAGCCTACAAGGGCGGTATCGAGAACACCGACCGAAGAGTCTACGAGATGCGCCTAGTCCGATCTATGGGTGCTCTTGAACTCAGTCTGTACTTATACCCGCGCATGATTCCCCTGCACAACCTGAATCCTGAAGATGGCTTTGCCGATGCCGAGACTGGTCACCTCAAGATGCCGCCATGCGTTCGCGCTTCATTTTCTCGCGTTGAACCGGGCGGCGTCTACCTGGTTGACAATGGACAGCAGTGCCTGATTTGGTTCCACGCTCAGACGTCGCCAAACCTTATCAGCGATTTGTTCGGTGAGGGCAAAGACACCCTGAAGAGTTTGGACGCCTATACGTCATCTCTTCCCGTCCTGGACACACATCTGAATGCGCAGGCACGTAACATTATCGAGTTTCTCAAAACGCAGCGCGGCTCTAAAGGCATGAACATCCAACTTGCTAGACAAGGTATCGACGGAGCCGAGTTTGAGTTTGCCCGCCTCCTCGTTGAGGATCGCAACAATGAGGCTCAGAGCTACGTGGACTGGCTTGTGCATGTTCATAAGGGGGTCCAGCTTGAGGTATGCTGTTCTTCTCCATGGTCCGCATGATTATGCTAATTATTACATAGTTGAGCGGTCAAAGAAAACGTGAAACTGAGGCCGACAACGCGGCCAACAGCTTGACCAATTTCGCTGGTCTTCGGCCATCATACTGGTAATAGCGCGGAGCACAGCTTACGAACTGATGAATTCGACAAAGAAAGAACACCAATGGAAAGCCTGTGAAGTACAGAGGCGAACAACGGGGCCTCAGAAGAGCATCTACTAGGGAAGAAGGCGTGTTGAGATTTTTTAAAAAATGCATTCTGTTGAGGCTCTAAGGGAGAGTCACATATTCTGCCTTGGGTGACTAATAAATAGTATTACGAAGCAAAACCAAGGCCACTTTTATTATTCAACTCGGGTGCTATCTGGTACTACGTATCTATCCGTGCCCCCGATACATCGAATCATGTGTGTCTTCTGTGAGTCTGTGACACGACATTCCATGGGCGCCCAAGAGCACGCAACGCGAGCCAACTTGCCACATCCCTGCTCACCGGTGTGGGCGAGTCTGTCCAGCCCCGGGCCTCCCACCTAATACTTTCTTTTTGGAGATAAAAAAAGGGGGGGTGTGCACCCAAGTGCGAATGGGTTCAAAGTAACGCCCACCTTGAGGATGATTTGGGGGGGGGAATTTGCAACCTGCTTATGCCGAGAAACCTGACAATTTTTTTTTCCGCGTCGTCTTATGGACGTCTTGGTCAAATCAAAGAGGCGAAAGAGGAAAAAAGTAAAAAAAAGAAAAAAAAAAGGTCTCGGTGTGTCTTCCTGCCCCCAATACCACCTTGGAACTTTTTTTTTTTTGACTTGTCCTCTGCGTCGGAGGTTGGAAGTGGAGGAGGGGGGCGGGGCGAGAGGGAGGGGGGGGGCCGGCGAATGAAACCTGCAGTTGCTTGTTTTTGACATTTTTTTTCTCTTGTATTTAATCTTATCTCGTTTATCCGTATTATTCTTAGTTTTTACAGTATTTTATCATCTTTCCTAATGACTGAATGACTGCCAATCTGGGTACCTTTTTAGCGCCTTGTCTCCATACCGTGTCGGTCATCCATGGGAATAACTTTCCCGTTGCCCCGTTTTCTTAGCTTTTTTTTTTTTTTTTCAGGAGCACAGATCACTCCGTACAAAGTTTTTTTCTTCTTCTTTCGATGGATGTGATGAGGTAGGTAAATTCCCTGGTTGATGCGAGTATCGGGGGGCGGGCCGGCATGTCGGAGCCTGCATGCATCGCGCATACGGGCGTGCGTGGGCAATCAATCTCGGTCGCTGCCGCCGTTGCGCACAACATATCTCAGCCTCGCAAATCCCCGAAGGGAAAGGGGATGGAGGGGTTAAATATTAACCTTGGCCTGCGTAATAGTATAAATTCCGCCGATCAAGGTCCCTCTCCCCCGGGCGGCTAGGGCGCGCCCAGATGGATGCGGAAGACGGCGGAACTAATACGACCCGATGTCAAGTGATTTGCCAAGAAAGTATAACGACTTAAAGTATATACCTAGTTTCTTGCCATAAAAATATTCTTCAATTCTCCGTCCAAATACGGTAACCGTTTTGCATCACGGTCAAACTTCTAGCGCAAAGAGATTCCGCCCCCAATTCTGCTTCTTCCAACAACGGCGCGGCTCTCGTCCGTACACACAACGGATGGCGGCTACATGACAACGGCGCGACTTAATAAATCGACGCCATAGAGAGAAAATAGAGTCAAAAGAAATAAGACATATCCAAGGTTACTCTCATGTAACCAAGCACAAGGCTTCAGCCAAGTCTCTTCGTCACAAACCTAGATTCCACAGTGTCCCATAAGCAATGCACTAACTGCCGACCACCCCTCCACTACCTCTTCCTTGTTGCGTTTGCGTACCACGGTGCAACCTCGGTGCTGACGGGCAAAATACCGTGGCAGAACGCTAGGCATGTGTGACATGCCATAACAAGCAGAAACAGTAGCAGATCGAGAGTAAAAACAAAGGCGTCACCCAGAACGGGCGTCCTCGAGACATCACTATAATCCGGTGCCTGAACTCGGGGCTCAGCTCCAATGGACACCCACGTGAGGGAGAAAAGGCTCTTCAGTAGGTGGTGAATCAGGCCGCCGGCAGGTTTCATGGGTCCTTGATGCAGAACCCCGGGGTGCAATGTCTTGTTTGGAGCCATATGCATGCAATGCATCGGCCCCCCTTTCCGCTTTGGCTGCCATGTTGCCATGCTGTCGCGCCACACAATCGGCCCATGCACCCGGTCGGCAGCTGCACAGGCATGGTTTGGCTCAGCTGGTGATCATCTGGAGCCCATACCGAGGGTCTGGCTCACTGACGACGCGCTGAATCTCGGCTGCGCTGAATACTCTCTGAAAGATGAGTATGTCGGTCGGTGCATCTCGAAGAAGCGCGTGCAAGTCATCTTTAGACTTGGTCTTGGTTTTTTGCTGCTTCTTGATAAGTTCTTCGAGAATGCACAGTGTCGTACTTGACGAGACATCTTCAAAGACAAAGACAACGTAAGTAAACTGGCCGCGCAGGTCGGGGTCGAAAAGGAAAACTTCACGCCATATCTCGGCCAGCTGCTGAGGCGGATTTCGACATCCATTGCCTAGACCAAAATCACCAATAACAACGCGATCATAGCCATGGTAATGACAAATCCTCAGAGCGCCCCGGATTTTGTCCTTCATTAGTTGGCGCTCCGCCTCGAACGAATAGGAAGTTCCATTATCCTTGAGCCGTGGCCAACGAGTCGGTGGCATAGATAGCACTGGCAAGTCGTGCCAGCTCTCTAGCTTCTCGTAACGATCGTGAGGCCCACGACTTACGACTACCGCATCAGAGAATACACCACCCAACGTGGGGATTGGATAGTTGGTTTCTTCCCTAGTCTGCGGCAGAGGTGTTGAGAGGGTTGCAAAGAGGTTGCTGCGCCTGCATAGCTTTTCTTCGTACAGGAGGGAGCCAATCTCCCAGTCGCCTCCAGGTCGACGCTCATTGGCAGCACAGATAAATGGAATGCGGATCCGGGGACCACCTGCACTTTGGCTCGCTTGGGAGTCATCAGCAGCATAACGGAGGGCCCTCATGACGGGGTCACCTTGCTCAACGCGAAAAAATGGCGGCTGGAGACTTGCTCGTCGCTTGACGGGCAACTGCAGACATGGTTCTCTGTAGAGGACTGAATAAGGCGGATAGATTTCCGCGTAGCTCGTGTTGACCAACGGGATCAAGTTGCGTTTTGTATCCGAGGCAACTTCGGACGGCTTTGGACGGCCGGACCGCCCAGACTTGGTAGAAGGCATATCGGTAGATGGACGTAGCGTTCATGTGAGTACAGCAGTGTGTGATAGTAGTCAACCTCCAAAGAGAACTTGCCTGCTGCTACAATAACAAACCATGAAAGATGTTGTATAGATGAGGCGACAGCAAAGCTTTTATATAGCGCACACGGTACGTTTGGCAGTGGCTTCTGTGGCGCGCGTGTGGTGTATAGCCGATGTTGCGAACCAGAAGGAAAGCAAAGGTGAAGCGAGTGGCCAAAGAGAGACCAAGCTCCGTCACGCAACACAACAAGTCAAGAACGGGGCAAGCATGCGGCCGATTTTCTGGAGCAACCCGAAAACAAGCGAGCCGGAAGCGTGGAAGAGAACGGGTCGGTGCAAGAAGGGACAGGATTGGAGCAGTTATGGTTCTTGTACAGGGACACATAAAACGCTTATCACAGAGGCAGGCAGTAGGTGGCTGTCTAGAGGGGCGAAACAAAAAGATTGGGGCCCTGCAGACGCACGAGGGCATTACCATCCAAGTTGGCGGGACCGACGAGAAGGAAGAAGCAAGTGTTATGTAGGGTGTAGGAGGGAGTGGTGGTGAGAAGGCGTCAACGAGCTTCGGCGGCATCCCACCCCTTGGGCAGCAGAGGCTGCATGGTTGGGAGGTTTTGACTGGAGGATCAGTTGAAGCCGGCATCATCTCAGACACTTGTGACTAGCTGGCGACGGCGCAGAGCAGTGTTGGCGACACGGGAAGCGAAGTCGGCACTGGAAAGCTACCAGTAAGAGTAGGGTCGTGTCAAGGCCGGAGGGTCTAGGGGGGTAGGACCAGGCCGCCCGCCCGTCCGCCCGTCCGTCCAGCCACGACTGGAGTAGAGGGAGAGTGACATTTCTTGCAGGTCTAGCCGCAGCTCTGAGAGCGATCTGTGGCACATCATCTCGCCTTGCTCAAGACGCGGGCAAGATTGGGCGGCGGACCGGGGTGTGCAGGGTGTGTGTCTGCCCCCCCCCCCCCCCCCCCCACGCGGCCCGTCAGGGATAGAAGACATTTCCCAGCCGTTGCTCATGTTTCGGCATCTGGCGAGAAATCGCTCTGCCTCTTTTGCGAGTTGCACGGCTATTTCGAGCAGTGATCTGAGACGGCCTGAGACTGCAGCCGAGCTACGGCAACATGCATTATGATTGCCGGCGTGCGTGGCCACTCAGCAAAGGCATGGCAAAACGGGCGAGTGAGGCGAGAGACATCAAAAGACACACGTGTTTTGCTCGTTGTGATGGAAGGCGATATGATGCACAACCGGCTTTGACAGTGAGTCGATTTCGAGGGCGTTTGAAGTGGCTTCATGGTGAGGGAAGTCGCGCTTGGTAACTAACGAACAATTAGCGGCGAAAAGATCAGCAAAGGAAGTAATATCTCATACAGTTGTGTGAAGCTATTCATCATTGTAATTCAGTTGGAGATAGACTCGATGATTTGCTCGTGGGAGACACTTGCTCGTGGGGGGCAAGGGGAGCTTGCCTTGTGGCATGAAGGGGGTAACTTGTGCCAAGACAGCCAGCGGAGACAACGACGCTAAAGTGTCTGAACGCTGCAACGCTACAGTCAACGGTGCCAACTTCCAAGTATCTAAATACCGGTATGTTATTCATTAAGTATTAGGAGCAAACAAGTGCGATTTCTGTCCAGGGCAACCCTGAGTATGAAACAGCCCAAAAGTATTAATAGAATCTTTATTATAGTCGCCATGGCGTTTTTCGCTATTGGTTCCTGCAGGCCCCAACAGTACCTCTAGCGACGACGTTATACTTTTTCAGACGACTAGGTACAGAGACTTTCAGGGCACTTGGACCCAATACCATCCAATACCACCCAAATACCACCCAATACCACCGTCAACTACACATATAGGTAGAGTCGGGTTTGAAAAGGGTCCATATCTGCTAAGAATTAGTAAAGTACAAAAAGTAGTGGTAATTGGTGCACTACAGTAGAGAAGCATGCTTGTCGTCGAGCAGCTTTGGGACAGACCGCTGCAAAGCTCATACACCGTACCCGTACGGAGTACCTACCTGGTAGGTACCCACCTACCTACCTACCTACGGATACTGCAGCATCGTTTTGTAGCGGCACATTCACTGTCCAAATGTGGCTACAGCGGACCAAGCCTCGATGCACGGCGCTGCGACCCCTGTAACCATCTCCCAGGTAGGTAACCATACTAAAATCTTTACTAAGGCAGGTACCGGAATCAACATTTTCCTCAGCCGACTCAACGACAGCCCACCTCAACTGCTTTCATCACATCGCGAGAGCCGTCGTCACGTCCATTTCACCTCTCTGACCCCCAATCAGTGTTTTTCGCCTCATTTTACATCTGATACACCGCGCTGCACGTCGTCAGCTGCTCCTACAGTCTCTCACGCCCCGCATCAACGCCCCTGACACATACCCAATTCATGATATATCACGTTCCTCAACCGCTCTGAGCTGTGTCATGTTTGCGGCGCGTGCCTTGCGCCGGCATCGGTGGCAGCGATATCCCGCAACGCAGCGACCATATTCAGTTTCCATCCAACAAGACAGCCATACCCGGGTCAAGACCATCGCAGATCTCAAGGAATTTCGGTCAACCCAACATGTCTCAGACGTCACAATATGTGGCTGGGTACGCTCAGTCAGGAAGAGCGCCAGCGTTCGCTTCATCGACGTGACCGACGGCTCCTCTATGCGTCCTATCCAAGCCGTCGTTGATAAGCCGCTTGCATCAGAGTTTGTCTCTGTCGAACAACCTTGAGCTAGGCCTGCGGCTAACAACCCACTGTAACACAGCATTCGGCCAGGCTCAGCAGTCCGTCTCCTCGGCACTTGGAGAAATGGGACAGAGGTCGACCAAGATCCTTCACCTTCTTCCACAGAGGAGACGACCAAGACAGAAACAGTGGCCTATGAGCTACAGGTTCAGCAGGTTGACATCCTAGGTGCATCAGACCCTCAGGTACGTCAGTCACAATGTTCTTCTCATGTGAATACGAATTCACACTCAGCTCTCCAGACATATCCTATCCAGAACAAGTACCAGACCCCCGAGAGTTTGCGCACAATCTCACACCTCCGATGTCGCACCCCAATGAACAGCACCCTTTTGCGTTTCCGCTCAGACGCCACCGCCCTCTTAACACACTTTTTCTTTAGCCAACAGTTTCAGCAGACACACCCACCCATTATCACATCTTCAGACTGCGAGGGTGCTGGAGAGGCGTTCACCGTCCAGGCCCCTGGGAAAGGCCATTTCTTTAGGAGCCCCAAGTACCTCACCGTGTCGACCCAGTTGCACCTAGAGTCCTTGGCCCAAGCCCTTGGCAACGTATGGAGTCTATCTCCCACTTTCAGAGCCGAAAAAAGCGACACGTCTCGGCATCTCAGCGAGTTTCAAATGCTAGAAGCAGAAATGAGTTTTGTCAACAACATGGCTGATGTCATGGACTTGGCTCAGCGAATGCTCGTCTCACTCACGACAGGACTCAAGGGCCTCCGTGCAACCAAGGAACTAGAGCACAATAGAATAGATGCCAAAGAACGCGCCGAAAAGCTGGCATTTGAGGATCTTGAGACCTCCGAGGTTCTGATTCGCCGATGGAACGGCATGATGACTGCGAAGGCTTGGCCCAGGCTCACATACACCGAGGCCATAGACATGTTGCAGCCAGTAGCAGAACAATTCACGCACAAGCCTGTATGGGGTGCAGGACTCCAGTCGGAACATGAAAAGTACCTTGCCGAGAAGGTCGGCTACGACGAGGTAAACGATGCATACCTTCCCGTCTTTATTACACAATATCCTCGCGAGATCAAGGCTTTCTACATGCTCAAATCGACCGATTCGCTGGCACAAGGTCAAACTGTCGATTGCTTTGATCTCCTGGTTCCCGGTCTCGGCGAGCTAGCGGGAGGCTCTATGCGTGAGCATCGCTTGTCAGAGCTAGAGGAGAGCATGAGGTTACACGGATTGCCCGTGCCTGACGCCCGCCAATCCGGAAATAACAACCTCGGTTGGTACCTGGACCTGCGGCGATGGGGATGCCCACCGCATGGCGGATTTGGTCTCGGCTTCGACCGACTTCTCAGCTACCTTACCGGCGTAACCAATATTCGCGACGTGGTACCCTTTCCGCGCCACTTCGAGCGCTGCGACTGCTAGGCAAGTGGCCCGAAAATCTGCGGCTTCAGGCATGTCGTCGCCAAACTGGTTAGTCAGGCGCTATATGGCTTTGTGTCTCGTCGCACACAACGACAATTGGTCAGAGCGCCCAGCACAATGAAGTGCTCATCAGTGCTGCCGTGCTCGGGAAATGCTTCCGTGGCTTATTTTGGCTACACAATCGAAGGCTGCGTCGCGGCCATGACCACGTGGCTTCTTGGACCCTTGGCTTGTACGACCAGATTTGTCAAGCCTACCTTGATTTGGCAGTATGCACGAAGTAAAGTGCTTCTTGGGGCGATACCAATCCCCCAAATATTTGAGCAAGATGTCGTGATCCTATAAAAACCGCATGTTGGCCCAAAATGGGAGATTCAACGAAAAAGAGGCGTCTGCGCACCGTTGTCGCACGAGCGCAACTTTGGATCGAGTCACGACGGTTGTCATGTAATATGTTGTATTTATATTGTGCTACTGGTTGCAAAGGCTATACCGGGACAGAAAGGCCACACTGTATATTTGAGCAAGGACCCCATGCGGTAACCTATGTCTATGCAGCCATCGATAGAAGCTCTGTCATGATATAATATTCTCCCTCGATTTTGCTGCCGCAGAATGTCGCACGCTATCTCAAGAAGCACCGGAGTACATTAAATAGACGCGTCGTCCGAGTGCCAGCCTTGGCGCCTACTAGAAGCTCGCCTATTTGCGCGCGCACTATTCGGCTGGATTCGAGGCAGCCCTCAGATTAGCGTCTCTACCGTCTCCAGCACCGAATGGTCGCTTGCGGCGGGACAGGGACAACGACAGAAACCCTTCATCAGCAGGGGTTCTTCTGTTCTGCTCAGAGGCTCTCTTCAGAAGTGCTGCTTGTCTTCTAAAGACCTAGATGTGTCGGGCACGCCGGCGTATTAGCGGTGTGGTGACGAGGCCTAGGCAAGCAGAAGCAAGAAAGACTCTTTTCTGCATTTTTTTTTCCTTTGCTTACTTTGATTTATAATCGAGAGTGGCTCGGTCATGTCCGTGATGTACTGATTTGGCACCCTTCAGACGACCTAGCATCGTCAAAGATGACCAAACATGGCTCCTCATACACACGCGCGGCTTTTGAATAACGGATGAGAATATGCAGTATACATCATTGAAATAGCACTCAAAAAACATGTGATGATGTATCCTGTACTTGCGTTTTTTTGGAAATGTGGCGACGAAGACACTCAGTTTGGTGAGGCCAGTCTCAGTTTCCTCATGCGTGACCTGATGTATAATCAGCTACTCTCATCAAGACAGCTCTGGTAACTTCCAGAATGGTTGATAGTTGATAGATGGTGTATTCGACCCGGACGAGCATTCCGCAATGACCTCTAGGCTCAGCGACACGTTTAATCCGGCTTATGCCGGACTCTAATTTCCGTGTCTCTGCGTGCCAGCTTTCAAAGGAGAGCACTATGGCGAGATTCCTCAGCCTCATCAGTGACTCAGTTCTAGTTCATGACTTTTACTTGTAGTGAGTGTCTAGAGATAGCAAGGGGAACAACAGCTGGCCGCTTCTGCCTCGCTCGAGACATCGTGGTCGTAGCGAGGCGTGTACGTCCTGGATAAGCAGTATTAGACAGTCAATGACGGTGCTCCGGACATATGCTCGGATGTTATACTACGCTTTTAGAGCAAGTATTCAGCGTGTCAGTCTCTCAAAACTGGATCCGGTTGAAAGCCGTTGCTTGTTCGTGTCGTGAAAGATGCCACGGCACAATCTTGAAATGACCGAGCGATATCAGAAACGTTTTCAATCACATCTCTTTTAAAGTCATTGGAAAGCTCCAGTTGTTTTCTGTTGCAAGTTTCGAATCAAATGCATCTTTGAAGGCGAACTTTCGCCGACATCTATTAGCTATTTTTGAACTATCAGGCCTACAAAAGCCGGGCAACCTCAACAATGGACACTGAACATTGATTCGTTGATTGGACGCTGATCTTACAATCCTGTATTATCTGCGAGTTTAAACTGCCATAAGATCAAAGACTTAATCACAGCATGCTGAGTTCAATGTTGGGTCTGTATAGCGTCATCAGGACTGTGGAGCTGCGATGCCAAGTCGCTCCTCTCACCCACAATAAGCATAAAGCATACCGTTAAGGTATTGATTAATTCCCCGCCTGCCAACCCCAGCCTGCTTGTGTCCGGAAGCCACGGCACCAAAGAGGACTTCCTTCCTCTCCAAACGAACGGGCACACATACACACACCCCTCCATGCAATACGGAGACTTTTTTTTTTTTTTGCCTTCTTTCTGGAGAGGAGTGGGTGACTTTTAGTGCGGACCGGGATCGGTTGGAACGGCAAGGCTAGCGAGAGGAGATGACCGTCCCCCATTTGCTATTACGAGAGAGAAAGGAAAACGAAACGTCGGGAGAACAAGGACTTGATGAAGCAGGGGTTGAATCATCGTGCTTCGGCCGCAAGCAAAGACTCGGGTTATCGATGAGAAGGAGAGAGAGAGAGAGTTGTGTGTGTCAGAGCCAAAGACCTGCAACTGCTGCGCCACGGGGCGACAACATGTTTGCTGCGCATGAGAAATAAGATAAGACCCCGTTACGAAAGACGGGTAAGCGAAGGCTAAACTCGGGAGCGCACGGCAATCTAGGCTGCTCAAAGGCAGGAATTGACAAACCGATGATCGCGTTTGAGGAGGGTGTAAGCATAATGCTCAAACTTGTAAGATGTAACATTATGTGAGAAGCACCCCCAGCGAGAGAACATGGCCATAATGATGACCAAATTAACTTGCATTTTGAACGGGAGAGGCAGTTGTCGAATATTTGCTACGCATGTTCATTACATTGCCTATCCAGATGTATCGACAGATGCATCACGGATGGCGGCAATAGGCACTCCGAACACCGGAAATGCCCACCTCGCATGACGCCCAGATGAGTTTATCTCAAGTCTGTAGACTCATCACCAACTCTGCAATCGAGACTCGGCCCTAATGTGCAGGGTGGACGCATGACGGCACCGCTTCCTATTGCTCAAAAGCGCGACGCGCAGTCGTGCAGCAGCACATAATCTCTGCAATCAATTCATACAACGTGCCACACGTTTCGGCCGCCCGCGATGGCGCGACAAGCTTCAATCAATTGACCGCATGGAGGATCAAAGAAACCCCCCTCCCCCCCCAGCAGCCGTGGCTGGGTCGGCACGGCAAAGTCGGAATGGCCAGCCCTGCCATGCAACTTTGTTGATTGCTCCCCATGCACAGCCACCACGCAGGTTGCCTTGTTAAGCCTGCGGGGGGCTGATATAAAACCGCCGAACCGGGGAAAGAATAAAGTCAACTTGCTGGTGGAGGGAACAAGGGTCATGCTATTGAGCAGTCGTAGCGGAACTGCTTCCGGAAGTCGGTCTATTACCTACCATAACTGGCCAAGAGCACGACAGGACCTTGTACTTTTGGCTGGAAATATCGGACTAGGGCTCGGGACTGCTGATGTGGTGTCGCTGCATGTAAATATGGAAATATGTATGTGCCGCAGCGGAGAGAGATTGTCTCTAGCCCCATCATGTCGCCGGCTCGTTACTGTGCAGCAGCCGGGACCCGGGCCAACAAAAGGGAAAGAGTATGGCGAAATGTTACCGTCACAGGTGGTTTACGAAGTAATCAAGGGAAAGTGTAACTATACGAGACGTCCCCTGTCTTACAAGTTCTCCTAGTGAAACTGGTTGAATGGCAATACACCAAGCACGAAACACAAAACAAAGCGGCCGGCCTTGGAAACAATTGTTTTGATAATGCACTACAAAGAGGGCAATGCATCTTCATTTTTCACTCACGTCGGATTCTGTCAGCCTCGTGAAAGAGCATATGCACTTTACTGTTCGTGTCATTACCGTCGGGGATATGAGCTCATCCTCTCCACCTGGCGGCCCGTGGACAACGGCAGACGGCAGGTGATGCAATACACGCCCGGGCAAAATAATGGCATCAGAGACGTAAGAAGATGCAAATGCTTCGTTTAGGACGAGCGAGGAGCTTTGAGACCCCAGCATCGGTGATGAAAGAAGCAAAGGAACCCCTGCCGATGCTCCGGCCCGAAGCGATCCATCTAGGCCAGTTTGATGACGGGACCCGGTTCGACCGGCTCAAGGCCACCCGGCCCGGACTATATTTACACAGAACCCAAGGCCAAGAGGGTCGACAAACGAACGCCCAAAGACGTGGAGCAAGGCTCAAAAGGTCTCCTTCCTCATCTGATTTCGACTGCAGCGGCTCCGCAGCCCCGGGAGTCAAATAATGCAAGGTGGCGGTCGTGGCACCAGATTCGGGCAAAGGTGAAAGTCTGCGCGCCATTACGAAGAAGAGAGTAATATTCGTATCCGCTTGAGAAAGCTCGGACCAGCGCCCAGCAATCGAAAGCATCACGGAAAAAAAAAAACCCCCCATGCGCCAGCTGGTGCGATGTTGGGGTCAGATAGTACGACTCGCATCGGCTTCAGGCAGGGGGGGGGGGGGGGTGCATGGCCTGTCAAAGGTCCCAGGGTTCTGGCCCGCTTCCGTTGGCCATTGCTTTTTTTTTTCGGCAAGCAGATAGCCGATGCTGTTAATAAGAGAAAAAACGTGGAGGGTACTATGTAGTGATTCCGTGTGGTCCCTCAACGAGATTAAGGCCGACCAGAGATGTTGCTTTGAAAGCGGTCCGCCGTCTGTTGCGCTGCAGGTCTATGCAGGCTGAGAATCATGGCAAGTCTCTCTCTCTCTCTCTCTTTTTTTTTTAAACAAATAATTGCTTTATGCACACGCCCTTGACACATTTGGGGGCCTTTTTTTGTGTCTGTGAGAAATAAGCTTAAGCATTGGCCACGATAACAAGGTGGCGCGAGCCGAGTTTGCCGATTCAGATGGAGACGCTGCGACAAGTGTTGCTGAAATGAAACTCTACTGGGTAACGGTATTACTGGTCTATACAGAACATATTACAACACACGCGGGAAAACCAAGAGGA